GGATGAAGGTGAACGGAAGGGAGAGCTCTCTCCCTTATCCTCTCAGCCGTGTCCACCCTCGAGGAGGAGTTTGCAGGGGCTGTTAACCGTCGAACGTTAACTGTGAACACGACCACGAAGATGGCCCGCTGCTGCTACCGTTGGATGAAGATATAAAGGGAGACAGCCAATATCCCCGGCAATGTGTTACCACGCCGATCCACGCGTGTTCGTCCTCAAAAATACCGCGAACCCTGCAAAATAGCGGCGGAAAGCGGGCAGGGGGGAGGGGAGGGGAGGACGGTAGAGAATGGCGGATATCGGAGAAAGAAATTTCGTACTGATATTCTTGCTGGTTTAAGCTACTTCTCATTTCCAGGCTTCTTTTTCTCCTTTCTTTTTTCTTTTACGGAGTGAAGAATGCGTTATGAAGATGGTGTAGCGATTTCTGCGACAGATGGTGCACGAGTGACGGAATTTTCCATGGGATATTTCATTCGCAAGAAGCTTTGAGGTTTTTCAACAATTTGCTTTTAAGATTCCAGGAGAAATCTTTGCGTTTAATTTTTGCACGGCGATTGCATTAATTTCTTAGCGTAATAATAATATGCAGAAAGTCAATTTTTAAATTAAAAAAAGATATATTCAAGTTTGTTTCACACTTTGCTTTTGTCATACATTCGAATTTACATATTAAAATTTTCAAGATTTAAGTTATTTAAATTTTTAAATTTATATGAAAAATTTTGTATTATGTAATTATTTGCGCTTAGAATTGAGCACCGCTGGTTGTTTAAAATCCATAAATCCGTAGTCTTCTACCGCGAAAGAGTAATGAAATTCTCACGGAAATAAGTTTGGCACACGTAAGCTCGTTTCACCTTCTTGTTGAAGATTCTATTAGCGAATTCTGATAGATTGATATTATTTTATGCAAGATAATAAATCCTACGAAGGGAATATATTTGAGTGATAGAGAGCAAAAAGCTTTCCCGTCTCATCTTTTTTCGCAAATATATAATTGACGCAATATGTAATTAGCCAACGCAAAATAACGCGCTGTAACGAAGCTCATGTAAAACTTGCTACTCTTCAATTATGTGTAATGCGAAAGCGCTTTTAATCATTTATGAGACGCACGGGCATGGCGTGTTCTCTGAATAATTGCGAGCGCAACATGGAGGCGAACGATTCAGAAATTTCGACCGGCTTGCTTCTCGAGAAAATTAATAACGCTCGTCTGAATTTTGTAATCTGCAGCTATAATCGCTTCTAGCTGCATCATGGTTTTCCAACTCTGCTCCGTTGTTTTAGATAATTTGACAATCACGCTTGATATAGCGGTAATATAATTTAGCATATCAAAATTGCAATAGAGTGGAGAAATTTACAATCAGTAACAATCATAAGAAAATTTTCAAATTCCAAAATTGTAGCAGACATATGATATTAATTACTATTAAAGTGGTATTATTATTATGCGAAAAAAATTATAAATGCATTTCTTTGGAAAAGAGTGAAGTCGAAAACGCGGAGTAGAGTTATATCGTACAACTATTGGGTTGAGCCATAAATAACTTCCATTTCTTAGATAAGTATTTGCTACCGCGGCGGAAGTTATTTATGACTCAACCAAATATATATATATATATGTCCGATTATACTTACCGCAATACTACTTTATATTATTATATCACTCCAACTCTACTGCACTCATCTAAACTGAACGATTTGAACCACTTACCGCGAATGACGGTGGGACTAATGGCGAGAAAATGCACGCAAGCGGCACCAGTGCCCTGACCCATGAGCGTAACATTGTCAGGATCGCCACCGAAGAGCGCGATATGCTGCTGTACCCAGTGTAGGGCGGCGATTTGGTCCATGAGGCCATAATTCGCAACCCTTGCCTTCGTTTGCGGCGCCACGTTGGCGTTCAGGAAGCCGAGTACGCCCAACCGGTAGTTCATGGTGACGATCACTTGGTCGGTGTAGCTCGCTAGGACACTGCCATCGTAAGGGTTTCCGCTGCCCCAGTCGTAGCTCTCACCGTGAATGTACAGCAACACCGGATGCTTCCTGCCGCCCTCCGCCATGCCTGCAACACAAAGGAGCCGCGTCGCGATGCGACGCAACGTGGCGTTTTAGTTCCTCTTTCGCCGGAGCCGAAGCTCTGAGGTGACAAAGACGACGGTGGCCGTTGTTGTCGACACCACCGTCTTCTTTGTCGCGGACATGTCGAGAGCACGAACAGTTCTACCTGTCGAAGCATCCGAAACACGATCTGGTATTGTTCCGTGTTCCGGACCTTGCGTCGTGGGATTATCAAAACTTTATTAACTAACCCTACAGAGATAACATCAGTGAATAAAAACAGGAATTTTACATGGTTTGTAGAAAAAATATTTTGTCTAATAAAATATGTATTGTTCAATAAATTTTAACAATAAAAGAATGTATAAGCAAATTCTTTCAAATCTAATAAATTAACAACATTTAAAAAATATTTTTTTTAATACCGATAAAATACCTTGAAAATTCTTTGATTTTTTTAAACAAAAAATATCTAAATTTCAGATTTTCTACATATTTCTTGATAGTTCATAGTTTATAAATTAAGATTTATTTTTTTAATTGAATAAAATAAAAACTATAATCATCTAAATTTTATTTCCCATAAAATTTCTAAATTTCTTAATATTTAATTCATGTATAGCTTTAAGACACATCTGTGATATATGAAAGAACAGGAGATATTCGATGTCTTATTTCGTTCCAAGACATGAAGCCCTGAAAATTGGTAGGAATGAAACATGAAATAATCGAACCGTAAAATTACAGGAAGCTACGCTCGTGTATCGCTATCTTGCCAAGTTTTACCGCGGCAAGTTCACTTGTACGTTTCGTTTAAGAAAGAAAAAAAAAACGCGTCGTTATCTGTGCGGAAAATTATTTATCGTCTGTAAATGTTTTAATCATTAGAAAAGAAGTGTGTGCAAAATGTACAAAATCCAACGAGTTCTCCACATTTTGTGTCTATAATTAGATAGATTTAGAAATTATAAATTTAGAATTTTTCCGGAGCTTTATATCAAGGTTTATATTATTGGCGAAAAAGATGTTTCAATCGTTGTGAAAACTCTTTCTGATTTTTTTTGCAAAGTGGAATCTTTGAAAAACTCTACAACTATTTTCCTTTTCCGCACCTTTCCACTTTCTAGTAGATATGGCTTTCCATATGGCTAGACGTATGATCAATATCGCTCTTTGTTTCGATAAGAGCCACTTCCGTCTCACTTTCGCGATCGCAGCGATGAGAATGATGCGGCAGCGTGACGCGGCAAGTGATAGGTCCATATTTCGTGATAAGAAATACCTCTGGAGAATCTTCCGACAAAGAAATCTACAATTCCAATGCTTACTGCGTACACTTTTCATGAATCTGTACAGGGTTCAGCGAGTGTGAGAAAGAAGTTTAACTTTACTTCGAGAATTTTTCTTTTTGACATATGACAGATTTCTGAATGTAGCTTTCCGAAAAACAGACGCATTCGAATTTGTTCGCCATCAGTTTTATATATTTGGCATCGAGATTACCGCCAAGTCTCTTGATCTACATTAATAAAAATTATCAAAATTTCCACTATCATTTTAATTAATCTGATTAAAAGAGTAGATAAACTTCGCGCTGGCGACTCGCAAACGTCACCTTTGATAACAAAAGAGTGCTTTGAGCTACAACATTATCAGCTCTTTCGTCAGAAAGTTTATTGGACGCAAAATTTTTTCTCTTTTAACTCATTTAACAATTCTCTTTTTATGCGTTAGCGAAGATACCTTTCGCATGTCTGTCTCTTTTCGCAATTAAATCTTGATGCTCGCCGAGTCCGTATCTCGGTATTGGAACAGATCGAGATACTCGGATCCGAGGAAATTTTTTCCTTCCTAGTCCACACCTCTGATCCCTTCCCCCAACCCCCCTTCCGAAATTATCTCAGAATCTTAATCAGGTAAGTCTTCCGTTTCAAAGTACTTTGCAAGTTAGCAGCGTATTTGCCGAGACTCTTTATTCGGATTAATGCAGATCTATTTTAGCTCCGTCTTCCTTCAGTGCGGGTGTTTGCTACGATAACGAGGACAAACTGCACAAAAAATATTGTATAAATTTGTATAAATTGCGTGGAGACTGTGAAAGATTTATGCCAATCTTTTTACATGGTTAATAAAATATATTTCTTGATTAATTTATATTTTTAACTGCTACTTTCAAAAAATCGGATAAACAATTATTATTAATTACTGATATATCTTTTTGTCTGATCCATTGTGACTTTTTCTACTAAAAAATTGATAATCGAGTTCCCTCTCTCTCAATAGAAATTATTGTATATTAATTACATTATGCATATATTATAATATATAGTTTCAGATAAATACATATATTTATGCGCTTATAAATGCAGAATTTTATATTTCGGATAATTTATTAAAATACAGCAGCATCAGCATCAATGTTATCGAAATGCATTTCCTAAAAATTGAGTCTTTGAACTTTTGTGAATGGCAGTGAATTAATGGTAGGCGGGGCGGATATTAATCGAAACAAACTAGAGATAAATTCAACGATTGGACGAACGAGCCGTCGCGTACTCGGATGTTTCGAAATGGCCGCGATGCGAAAATATTTAACACCAAAACTCGATATTACAGCGGGCTTTCTGCATTCGGTAAAATACTCGATAAATCCCGTTCGGAAAATAGATTAGCGCGATAGGTCATCAGCGAGACTCCTCACGACATGCACGCATCGGTATCAATTTATTCATCCCCTCCCCCCCCGCACCCTGCTCCCATCCTCATTCCATGATCAAAACAACGGATGTCAAACATGCCTGAAATAGTTCCAACTTTATTTCTGTATGCTTCGGATAATGTGCATCGACATGGCGCTCGTTAATTAATGTTGCCAGTTGAGTTAATATCAACGGACATCGATAATCGTACAAAAGCTCTGACGTTGACTTTTGGTCTTTCATTATTCCGAAGTATAATGCATCACCGAAAATTTGCTTCATACATTTTATAATGTTGTGCAAAAATAATTGCATAATTAATTGCAAGCCGCTCAAATTTAAAACATCTAATATGCATGTGCGCGCGCGTGTGTGTGTAAAATAATTTATGAAAACAGACGACATGGCCTGGCCTTTGCGAAAATGCAGTAATCCGAGTTTGAAAGTCAAAGAGCGAATTTGTTGGCGTAACAATACGTCGCCGTGGGTGGTTGGCTCTAGTTTTGCAATGATGTTATTCGTCCATCATCGGAAATCCGATTATTCGGTTACGCTTTAGCTCTTGCGCTCTCGACTATCATTTTTAGCTCGTTATCATGACAGTCCCGAATGTAAATTTTGATTTACACCATCCGTTCTTGATCATTATCTGCCGTTAATTAATCCGTCAATAAAAGGAATTGCAAAAACGGTGAACATTTCTGTTTCAATATGTATAATTGGTCTGTAAATTTTTGGTCGTGCAATTTCAACCGCACCCTCATTCATTTTACTTTGTGTAACACGTTATAAAACTGTTTATACATTTTTCAGCATTCACTGATTTTTATTTTGCATGTTTAAGCGAATAAATTTTTCTTTCACATTTGAAATATTTTTCAGAAATTTCAAGATATCGCGATTATAGAACCTAATAAATGAGGATAAATGGGGTGATTATTAAGGGTGAATAGTGTAAATTCGACGTAGCGTGGATCAATTATTACTGGCAATATTACGAGAGATTGCGTAGCTGTAACGCGGCGAAACTTGCAGGCGGCTTCGGTAACTTTATCGCTCGCGACTCATTATGCACAAACAGAATCAAAAGTACGTAATTACATCGCGAACTTTGTAGCGCAAACTGCGACGGGCATAATCCGCGCATAATGTGCGCAGTACGTGAAAGCAAATTAATTACTTCGTTCGTCACAATATCGCCGGCAAGTTTGCAAACGCACGGACAAAGCTTGGCCGTGCCAGATTTTGTTAAGTCCTAACAACAATTAATTTTGTATCTCTCTTTGCGATAGGTTATTACTTTATAGAAATACTGATTTATTTTCAAGTCAAAATTAAAAAAACCATTGTAAATAAATATGCGTCGATTTTTATTACGTGAAGTTTTATTTCAATACGTAGCGCATAATGTTTTAAACCAGTAGCACATCAGATTTATCTTCATAATTCATCTGTGAATTACATTTAAAAGTTACGTTTATTAAACGAATCAGAATGAGACTGTAGAAATGATACAAATAATTCAAAGAAAAATAAATTTAAAACAGCGAAGACTTGCATATTAACTTTAATTGAAATAACAATTTACTTTATAAAATATTTTCTTGATGTTACCGAACTGTATTATTATTTATTATTAAATTTAAAAATAAACTCTACCTCATAATTATATTTTTTACTTTAAATTAATCATTAAAACAAAAAATGTTAATGTAAATCTTTTTTTATTGTTTTTATTTATTAATTTATAAAATAATAGTAGTAATTATATTTTAGGAAAACAATAATTTATTAAATAAAATAAAGTTACACAATTGTTAAAAAATAAATTCGATAAGGTAAGCATATTTTAATAAATTTCATTTTATTCATTATGTAAATTTCGATATAAAGAATTTAATATATGTGTCTGCTAAAATTATTATTATTATTGCAAAATCCCAGTCTGTGCATTGGCGTAAATTAAACGAACGACAGGCCAGCAAAACACTTTCAATGCACATTATTCCAAATGCGTCTCCAGAGATTAACAAGCATTATTGCTTCATCATTGCATGAGTTTAATTACGTTTTAAACCTATTTTATCATATCAAACATACATTAATAAAATCCTCTTAAACGAAGGCGTGTTATATCAAGGATTTTTATCAAGATGTATAGGAATCGGAGTTGCGTGATGGCCCCGAACTATACTCATAAGAAGGAGCCTGCGTGCGGGAGCACGAGCGCACGTGTGTGCAAACTCACGCGCGTGGGACAGTGCAGCTGGTTGAATCCGAATTCACCTAAGCGTTCTAGCAGCTT